TTTCCCTGAGCAATCTGAAATATAATAAACAAGGTGTTAGCCTTGTCTCCTCAGATCTGTTTCATGAGATAGAAATCCTCTATTTCCAAGTACTTTGTACTTCAAGGGCAAAACAGTCAGTCCATGTATCGAAGTATGGACCCCATACGCGATCGATTTCAAATGACAGTTAAAATGGTTTGTTGCAGAATACTTATTTATTAAATTATATTGTATCTTGTTCTCTTTGTGACTTGGTATAGGAGCAAAACAGAATGTACAGGAGAAGGACGGGCTCTCTCCACTTCATCTTGCTGTTTATCATGGTCATGTTAACTGTGTGAAGCTCCTGATAGATCATGGTGCTGATGTTAACTGTACATCAAGGTGATAAGTTTTCAAATTCAGTGTGTGTAATGCAAACATTATGTTCAGTCTTTACTTGTAGCTATGGCCAGTTAATCAGCAAGGTCTAATTCAAAAGTGTAAGCCTGCATGCTGGCTCGGGGCATGTATACCTGTGCTTCATAAATTGTTTCACACAATTGCCATTATCAGAACTGAGCAGAAAGCTTTAGCCCACTCTTATCAAGAAAAGAACCCGGTTAATTTAGAAAAGAGTGAATGATAGTCTTCCTAACATTTATCATAGATGTGGATTTTCTAGCCTCGGTAAAATAATACAGAAAATTGGTTCATGTTTTCTACTGTGCATCCATTGACTTGTGCTTTCCAAACTCCTGTGTGCATCTTTAACTCGATAGATGTTGTGGTTCAATAAGTTTTACCCCTTGTAACAATTTTTGTTCTGGTGTATGGTAATGTACATGAAACAGAGAAACATAATAAATTATACCAAGGGCAATATTCAACCACATAGACACATCTTTTAAAAGCATGGACCCACATTTGTTATGAATTTTTTTTATTAATTCTAAATTTAGTAGCTGTGCTCAGTTAGTTGGACAGTTGGTCGGTCAAGGCACCATCAAGTTATTTATTAATAACACAAACTGGTGGGACTTATCCTTTTGTGTGACTCTCACCACATCTGTCATCAGGTTTGGCAGCACGCCATTACATCAAGCAGCATACTTTGGACACTGTGACTGCGCACTGGTGTTACTAGCAGCTGGTGCTTTGGTTAATGTGGAGGAAGCCTGGGGCCAAACACCGTTATTTCTGGCAGCACAGAGAGCTCATAGGTTTGTTGTCTTAGGGACTGGGCTGCGGTAGTTTATAGTCTATGTACATGATTCTACAGAAGAGGGTGACAAGATCAAAACGTTGTTAATGTTGGACAAATTAAGCTCAATTTGTATTGTTGTGATCCATTATCTGTGCTCGTAAACCCAGTTTGCTTGTCATGATTGGCTGACACAGAGAAACTACCACAAATAGCACAATTTAACATCACTGGACCTGAGAAGCATAATATATTTCTTATTAGTGATGGTTTATTCTGCACTATTTGTTATGGAAATCTTGGAAATTTTACATAGTTCTTATTTATTTTAATAATTAAAATTTAAATTTAAAAACTAAGCCCTGTGCTTTCCATTTACGTGTAATAATTGTAAATTGGATAAATTTGATGAAGACAGTTTGGCCAATTTCAGAGACAACCATTCCACTGTGTGTTGAAATTTTTTGTTTACACTCCTAAAATGTACCTCTGCTAGCACGTGACTCAGCAAGTGCATCATGTGATACATGCTCCATACACTATTTTGCATGCGAGGATAAAAACATGAAACGGAAACACTTCTTTTTTTCTAGTGATGTAGTCAAGCTTCTATTGGAATATGGTGCATTTGTGAACCAGACAGACAAAGCTCATTACAAGACAGGCCTGCATGTGGCGTGCGAGGCGCAGAGTGTGGCTTGTGTACAGTATTTACTTGACGCTGGAGCAGACCCAAATGTACAAGCCGAGGAAGGCCGAACACCACTTCATATAGGTGGGCATGCATGTTGTCGCATCATAATAGGTTGTTAAATATGAAAAATTCACTGTGACAGTGAATTTTTATGATACACTTACCTAGTTCCCGGACGGCTTAAATTCTCTGAGGCCTTCATGGTCAATTCATTTTGGTGACATATCTGTGATGGACCATGTGACATAAACGATTGACAGAACCAAAATAGTGAGGCTTAGGAACTAGGCAAATGATCCATATTGGTGGAGTCATTTTCTTGTTGCCGTTGACAGTTACGAAAACTTTTGTCACTTGCGTACAATTAGGACAACCCTAACACCCTGGAAATGAGTGAATGACAAAGTTACAATGAAAACCCTTTCAGTGACTGAAGTGTAATGCTTCCAGGAGCATTCAATCCATAGTCAGGTTCTGATGCATTAGTATTTTGTTTTTGCTGTGTTAAAAATTTATAAAGATTGAAATATTCAATATTCCTTGACAATTTCAAGTTGTGGTTTTCACTATTCCTTGACAATTAGACAATTTCATAAGCCACTATTCCATATTCATTTTTTTGCATCAACTTCAGTTGACGCTCCTTGCTTGAAATTTTACGAATGTTAGAAACAAAACATTGCCAATTTTGATTTGTTTTGCTCACATCTAGGTACACAGAGTAGACCTTTCACTTTGAGCAGGACCCTAAACTCTTTAATGGTGTTTATCCTAAAATCGTGGCCTCTCTATCTCCCAGGGGTATTCCCATATATAAAAAGGATGGGGGTGCCTGTCGTGGCTTTTAGTGGTTAAAAAAGCCGTTTTGGCACCGCTTAGGGTGCTCAGCCTCAAAAGGTCCACAGCTGGCGCTTTTGTGGTACCTTTAAGGGTATCGAGCCAAAAAAAATGTCGCAGAAGATATTGTCTTGTTTTGGAATTGTTACCTCTTAGGGATGAAAAACATTCCAAGCCACACCCACTAAACAGGATCTTTGTACCTCTTAGGGGTTCTTCTCGAGCACCCACGTCCTTTGGGATTCCCCCACGGGCTCTATCGTTATTGTTCTGGTTATTAGTACCCCCTCTCCCTTTATCAGTCTGCTAGTTACCTCCTCCTCAATACAAGCCCTTACTGTTCAACTTTTCTATCTTGAACTTAGTAACGCCTTTACAGAACATACACTGTAAATAATGAGTAGGTTTAAGAAAGATCACAGAAACCTCATCGGAGTCTTTTATTATCATTTTTTTAAATCAGTTCATTTCCTATAAACACTTCCAGGATCTTTAAGAGGTTTTTCAGATACTAAGTTCACCCAAAACCCCAGTATGAACTGGTATAAAATATAAGTCAAGGCATTATACGTTCTTTCATAATGCTTTTCATTTGCTTTGAAGTTCTTAGAGGGGAGGAGTCAGGGCCTTTGACGCAGCTTCTGGTAGAGTATGGCGCACGGTATGATATTGTGGATGACAGCGGTAACTCAGCGGAGACCATACTTCAATCATTGGTGACTCGATATGGAAATGGGCCAAATATGGAGCTGTTGGGATCATATCAGCAACTGCTACATTTATTTTGGGAAAGCCATGGTAAGAAGCTAGGGCTTTCAATATTTACTACAGAATTAATATTGTCGGTGATATGTAGTAGTATAACCCATTGTTAAATTAGCCGCAAAACTCTTGTCGGTTAACTCTAGCATCTTCAACAAGCTCAGTTACGCGTCAGTTTGCTGAGTGCTTCGCACAATCGTACAGCGTGCTTCAACCAATCACAGGAAAGATCGGGCCTATCAGTTGAAGGCTGTGGCCA